TTGTGGGCCCCCTGAAACAGGCAGCAACTGAATCTCCAAGACAGTCCAGTCCTTCAGTCCTCTAATCTCCACCGGAAGACAGTGACCTTCCCCCATCCTATAATCCAGGACAACAGAGCACCGCCTCACCTCCTCGGACGCGGGCAGGCAACCCCTATGGGCCTCCTGCTCCTGCTCCGGGCAGGGAACGAGCCGATATCACCACCCCAGCCATCCTCCCCTTGTGAGAAGCACCACCCCAGGGACATCACAGACAGGCCTTTTATGATTTACGTGCCTTTCTCAACTAGTGACTTGTACAACTGGAAGGCACAGAATCCGCCTTTCTCTGAGAAACCCCAGGCATTAATGGGACTCTTAGAAAGTGTCTTTCAGACTCACCGCCCCACCTGGGATGATTGCCAACAGCTTTTAATTACCCCTTTCACTACTGAAACACAAAAGATAGCTGCGGGAGGGAGGAGAGTTGAGGAAGCAGGGGAACAGACTGAGGAGGAATTTCCCTCCACCCACCCAGACTGGGGACACAATTCTCAGGCAGGGAGAACAGCATTAGATCGGTACCACCACATTCTAATTGGAGGAATTAGGATGGCTGCTTGTCAGCCGACTAACCTTTCTAAGGTAACTGAAGTTACACAGGGACCTCAGGAATCCCCCGGAGCGTTTCCTGAACGACTACAGGAGGCATACCGAGCATATACCCTCATTGATCCCGAGGCCCCTGAGAATGAGCAGGCAATTAATGTAGCCTTTGCTACTCAGGCAGCCCCTGATATCCAGTGTAAATTACAAAAATTAGAAGGCTTTGCAGGGATGAACCTGTCCCAACTTGTCCAGATAGCTCAGACGGTGTTCAACAACAAGGAGGCACCGGATGACCCCAAACGTATGGCTAAAATCCAAAGCTACTATCATCAACCCAGCCAATCTGTTGCCAGACCCAGACCCCAAGACCCCCGTTCATGACTGCATAGATTTCACTGATGCTGTGTGTTCTTCGTGGCCCGCCCTCAAAGACGCC